AGCCCACCATCTTGAAATTCAATAATCAGACATTTGAGAAAAACTCTGAAATTTCAGAGTGCTTTGCAAATTTTTTCGCTACAACATATTCATATTCACCCTGTCCAAATAAAGATACATATAGTTATAAATTATCGACGATAGATCAAATATCTATGCCTTTTTTACAAAGTCAATATGTTTCTAAAAATCTACGTAATTTAAGATCAATTAAAAGTCCAGGTCCGGATGGCATTCCTAGCATAATTCTAAAGTACTGTTCAGATACATTAGCTATCCCTTTAACGCTATTGTTTAATTATTCCCTGAAATATAGTCATTTTCCGACCTTCTGGAAGAAATCCTATATAGTTCCTTTACACAAATCTGGTAGCTTAACTAATGTCTCGAATTATAGAGGAATTGCTAAATTAAGTGCAATTCCAAAATTATTCGAAAAACTGATTACTGATATAATTTCTCATAAAGTTCAGCCAATCTTAAGCCCATATCAACATGGTTTTCGTAGTGGCCTCTCAACCATTACCAATCTTATTCAATTTTCCTCAAGCGTCATAAAAGGTTTTATTCAGCGTAATCAAACCGACACGATTTACACTGACTTCAGAAAAGCTTTTGACAGGGTTAACCATGAACTTTTAATATATAAATTAAATCAAATTGGTTTCAGTATAAATTTAGTTAAATGGATATCATCTTATTTGAGAAATAGATCACAGGTAGTTTTGTTTGATGATTGTCTCTCCAAATCCATTAATGTTCCTTCCGGCGTTCCCCAAGGAAGTCATTTAGGTCCACTCCTCTTTCTTCTATTTATAAATGATTTACCAAATGCAATAATCCACTCCAAATTGCTAATGTATGCTGACGATGTCAAGTTGTTTATCACCCATAACTCCATGAAGCAAGCTGATTTACTTCAAAATGATTTAAATAACCTTTTTCAATGGTGCGAATTAAACTGTATGGATTTAAACCTAAACAAATGTAAGCATATGTGTTTTTCCAGATCTTCTACTTTAACAAGGCAATACAATATTAATAGTACTGTTTTATCAACTGTTGATTCATTTGTTGATCTTGGTATTTTAATGGATCCAAAATTAAATTTTAATAATCATGTTATTTCTATGGTAAACAAAGCCCACGGTGTCTTAGGATTTATAAAACGATGGGCTAAAGAATTCTCTGATCCCTACATTACAAAACAACTTTTTACATCTCTTGTGCGACCCATATTAGAATATGGTTCTGTTGTATGGGATCCCCAATATACAATTTATTCCGATAAAATTGAATCAGTGCAGAAACAATTTCTAATTTTTGCGCTGAGAGGTTTACATTGGAATAGTGACTTTGTGTTGCCTTCTTACACTAGCAGGTTAAAATTAATTCGATTGCCAACATTAAAAAGTAGACGTATTATGTTGAACACTATGATAGTAATTAAAATACTAAGCGGTAATATACCCTCAGACTTCCTAATTTCATCCATTAGAATAAATGTTCCTTTTCGATCAAGTAGATATTATCAACCATTATACGTAGATTTTCATCGCACAAATTATTCTATGGGAGATCCACTTAGTAAAATGTGTATTGATTTCAATTCTGTGTATTCTAACGTAGACTTTTGCATGAATATAGACCTAATAAAATCTAATATAATCATATTTTTAAATGAATAATACAACTTAATAACAAACTGGCTGTTGAAGTAGATTTCTGTAGCTGGTTTTCTATCCCTTCTCATATTCCATCATAATGCGGATTATGATGCGTACGCGATCCCTACGAAAGGGGAGGTCGCCCCCTCGGTCGGCAGGGGTGGGAAAGTGAGGGGTGGGAACGTACGATAAAAAAAAAATAAGTAAATTGTTCCCGATATAGTAGGATTCGAGCACCAACGCTTCTCAAGCCTATATTCGAAAGAAATGCGGACTAAGATCTAAGATTTTCGTTAAAAAAATAATTTATAGAACTGAGCTATCATTATTCGACGTTTTCTGATTTATACTCAATCCAAAAGTACCCAGATTGTTAAATAATTTTTAAGTGTGATATGGATGATTGTTAGCATATACTTAGAAATGCATAAATCTATATTAAGTTATATTGTGTATTGGAAAGACCCGCTAACGACGTAGCGGGCATATGCTAGTTTGCTATTTTACGAAGGAAGTCATATATCAACGTTTTTGGTCTATATAATAAACGGAGTAATTTTAAGATTTTTTCTTGTGCCCAAAATTAAAATCTCTATAATTTTTGCGCGCATCAATAAAATATTATCGCGAACGACTTCGGAGGCAGGACATTTTCCATTTTTCTCCATATGAAAATGGAATATTAAAAAATTGTCAATATTGCCCATATGTATACATATATATGGGCAATATTGCCAATTTTTTAACATAGCTGAAGCGGAGGTTCACCACTTTATAACTCGGGAACTACTTAAGTATATGAAAAAAAAGTTCATAGTTTTGGGTTAATTGATCTGTCGTTTCAAACTGTTCATGATATTGACCTCCAAACTTTATTTTGGTGGAAGCTGTGTCTACTTTAATGTAAAAAAATGTGTAAAAACAGGTTGAGGCGAACCAGTTTTTTATTGCACGGTCTTCGTGTCAAAATAGAACTAGAAGCCAACAAAATGTGGACTACGTACGCCCCTTATGTATCATTTTTCAAAATTTTAACTGCATCTACCTTTAAATGATGCTGACATTTTGAAGCTCGATTTTGAGTGTTTTTTTTTTAATTTTACTTCTAGCTTTAATACGCAAACAGGAATTTATAAAAATCGATTATAAGATTATTGTAGTCGCGAATCTGCGTAATTTGATATGTATTTTGTGTATGTAGTATGCACAGCTTCAGAGTAATATTCATAATTTCTAAAAAACCTATTTTTCGGGCCAAATTTTTAGATCTGTCAACTGAATGATATGGGTACCCGTGATCAATAAGGTTTTTTACGTTTCGGATGATATAAAATCTTCTTCGTGAAAATCCAACTACTAGAACGGCGGGAACTGGCCTTCCAAAAACACGAAATTTGGCAAAAAATGTTTTTGAAAATATCGCGGATTTATTTGCTTTTTCTGTGTATCATATCCGCTTCAATAAATGACCTCATACGGATTTTGATCTTTTTCGAAAAGAGAACTTTAAAAACATCAGCCGAAAGAGAGATATACGCAATTTATCTCAAAAATAGATTGTGCTTGCACATCCATGGTTCTTAATGGACCACATTGAAATGGTATAGATCGATGTATTTTTTTAGGGTGCACACCGAAATCGGATGCCCGTTAGTGTCATATGGAGTTTTCGGAAATTATTCGCGTTTTAAGATTTTTTGGGTACTTCAATGTAACGTGCGGCACATCTTAGCCGTCAAATGAAATTTCGCAAAATATATATGGATTGGAAGATAAACTTCAGTACTTCCTGGGAACCGCATGCGCATCAAATGATTTTGAGAATTACGCGATTTACACGCAATTTAAAATGTATATTTCATAATATTATTTTATTTTAAGATTTATTAATATTTATAGAATTCTAAGATTTATCGGAAGGGTCCTGATATAATCCGCAAGGCGTATACTTATACACAAAAAGTGATTATTATTATATATGTCAATTTTTCGGCGAAATTCGGGTAAAATAGCAGAATAACCCCAACATTTTTTTCTGAAATTTCTTGTAGACAATTAAAAAAATAAATATGATGACATTATTTTTTCGAACCAAAAACAAATATTTTTCCTCAATATCTTGTTTTGTTGTCACTTTGATTTAGAAACCGCTACACGGACTTGTGTGATTTTGATATCATTTGTTTCACCATGGTGTTTAGATTATGTAGATATTTTTATATTAATTTTTAGGTGTGTTGTATGTCATTAATATAATGAAAATATTGATGTAATCTGCAATATTTTTCTCATATTTCGCGAATATGTGCAACTTTATTGGAAGATAAACTTCAGTACTTCCTGGGAACCGCATGCGCATCAAATGATTTTGAGAATTACGCGACTTACACGCAATTTAAAATGTATATTTCATAATATTATTTTATTTTAAGATTTATTAATATTTATAGAATTCTAAGATTTATCGGAAGGGTCTTGATATAATCCGCAAGGCGTATACTTATACACAAAAAGTGATTATTATTATATATGTCAATTTTTCGGCGAAATTCGGGTAAAATAGCAGAATAACCCCAACATTTTTTCTGAAATTTCTTGTAGACAATTAAAAAAATAAATATGATGACATTATTTTTTCGAACCAAAAACAAATATTTTTCCTCAATATCTTGTTTTGTTGTCACTTTGATTTAGAAACCGCTACACGGACTTGTGTGATTTTGATATCATTTGTTTCACCATGGTGTTTAGATTATGTAGATATTTTTAAATTAATTTTTAGGTGTGTTGTATGTCATTAATATAATGAAAATATTGATGTAATCTGCTATATTTTTCTCATATTTCGCGAATATGTGCAACTTTATCGTGATTATAATATATTCATATTCTTATTTTACAGAGGAAGATATATATCAACGTTTTTGCTCAATATAATAAACGGCGTAATTTTAAGATCTTTTTCTTATGCCCAAAATTAAAACCTCGATAACTTTTGCGCGCATCAACCAAAAATTTGATCGCGAACGGTTTCGGAGTCAGAACATTTTTCCTCTATATGTGTACCAAAAATCATTGATGTGCCACAAAAACAAAAAAGGTGATTTTTTGAAAATGGAATATTAAAAAATTGGCAATATTGCCCATATATTTAAGTGCATAATTTAATTTGTGTGCCTTTACTTTGCTAGTAAACTACATTTTATTGTTTATGATTGAATTGAAGTTGAATCTGGGAGTTTGTCCCAAAAAACGAATTTCCTCATTTTTGTTAAATATCTATAAAGCATTAAGATTAATTTAAATTATCCATTTCTTTTGCATTTATTCTAGATTGTTGATGAACGAACACCTGTTACTATACCTGGCGGTAAAAAGATTCAAAAGTACCTGGAAAATGCGATGATGCCAGCGGTTCTGAGACATGACGGAAAAATAAAGATTAAAGACGGTGTGGGCAGTAAAACAAATATGCCTCCACCAATGCCAAAAAATTCGGCCACTAAATCATCAGTGTCTGAAAGTAGAATATCATCCTCTCAACAGAATAATGCAAGTTTGGCAGATCTCTCTGTAATGTCAGGCGACGTCTCACTATATACTATTATGGATGCACAGAAATTTTAAAAATGCATCTGTTATGTTAGCCATTATTTTTAAGTTTTTTATTTTGCATTTATTTTATGTAATATTTTATATGTCTTACTTTTATTAAATGGTTCTCGGAGAAATAAAAGGAATCTTGATCGGCGGTTTGGTCTTAATATTAATCATGAAGAAATGCATCGTTTTCATTTTAATCACACTTTTGGTTTGAAATGTTTTCGTAATGTAATCAGTTAGAAGATCCCTTCCAAGCACGGTTAACTTTAGATTCGGAAACTCGGCCCAGCTTTTGGCATATAAATCGACCAACAGAAATTAATTTTTCTAAATCAACTCCGGTCTGTACGCCCATTCCATGCAACATATATACAACATCTTCAGTGGCAGCGTTGCCGGAGGCACCGCGAGCATAGGGACAGCCACCCAGACCAGACACCGAGGTATCAACCACAGATATCCCATAATCTAGAGCTGTGAAAATGTTAACCAGTGCCTGGCCATAGGTATCGTGGCAGTGTACAGCTAATTTTTCAGAAGGCACAACTCGCACAACTTCATCCAACATTTTTCGCATGGTACCGGGAGTACCAACTCCAATTGTATCACCCAACGAAATCTCATAACAACCCATATCATACAGGGCCTCAACAACTTTCACAACATCTTTCGGTTTAATTGGGCCTTGGTACGGACACCCGACTACCGTTGAAACATAACCGCGGACCTTTATATCGTGCTTTTTGGCAGCTTCCAATACGGGTCTAAAACGTTCAATACTTTCAGATGCAGTACAATTAACATTTTTTTTGGAAAAGGCATCCGAGGCAGCGCCAAAAACTGCAACTTCTTGTGCTCCAGCCTTTAGTGCACTTTCGAACCCTTTCAAATTTGGAGTAAGCACCGGATATGCAATACCCGGCACTTTACGTATACCCTGTAGCACTTGCGCATTGTCGCCCATCTGCGGCACCCACTTTGGACTGACGAAACTTGTAGCTTCAATAGTTTGCAATCCCGTTTCGGAAAGTTGATCAATAAGAGATATTTTTACATCGGTGGGCAATATTTTTGGTTCATTTTGTAAGCCATCTCGGGGTCCTACTTCAACAATACGCACTTTGTTGGCTACTGAAGATTTCTTCAATGAAAATAAAAATTATTCGTAATTGAAATGGATTGGCAAGCTAATTGAGTTTACCGTGGCAAAGGACCTTAGCAATGCCTTCCTGGCGATTTGGCTATTCATACACACTGATCTTATCATGCTGCCTCTTTACTAATTCTAGTATTGCACAACACCTACAGTTGATTTATTGTTGCGAACGAACCCAAATATTGTACCGGGCATGGCACGAAAAGTATACGAATGTACAGATAATGGTACATTATCGTGTTACTTTTTCAGGTACATATGTTGTAGATTTTATTAAATCACTGTATCGATTTAACATTTTGGCTGCCAAGATTTAAAGACGGTACAGAAAACTACAAAGTATAAAGTTATTAAATAAACGTTTACAAAATAATTCAGAACATTAATTAATTTTTAGTCGGTACGATCAAACCTGACAGATATACGGATTCTGCAAAATGAACGATCGGAACCAAGTTCTATTATTAAGGTCGCCCAGAAATTTGGACTTTGTTTACGTTTTCATAATGCGAAACAATTCACAATAAGGAATTGTGACAGTAAATATGAAAATATGTGATCTGGTTACGATATAAATAGGCCTTAACCAATATCGAATCTGTCAAAAATGAAAAAATTGAAGTAAAATTATGAAAAAATTGAAGTCATATGTCTGCATGAGACTACCTTGAGTAATTATGCCATGATTTATTGGTTTAAAAAATTACTTAAAATAAGTCACTATAACATAATATATTTTAACAATATTGTTTTGAAAATGCATTTGTGTCAATGGTTATTGCATTTTGAATTACTCCTTGATCTGTTCTTTGATTTTCGATCCTTAAGTTTTCATTGAGATATTTAATTCTAAAATGCATTCGGAATTTATAATTTTTTCAGGTAAATTAATTTGTTGGCTCAGTTTTAAATGTTTAATTTGGAGATTTCGATTATGATCAATGGTTGAACCGTTAACTGCACGAAAAACTTGTTCAAGGCATCGAATCGCTAAGAATTTTTGGGACGTTTTTTTTTTTTTTTGAAGATCTACTTATGATCCAGTTTTTTAGGTCTGCTCGCATTTAATTTTTTATCACCCCTCCTTTTCAATATATTCCTGTATGACTTTCCTCACCAATCAAATGAGTCGACAGCAATTTTATATGCAGATGATTGCTTAATTTATAGTCATCATAATTCACCGAATCGAGCGCTTTGTCTTGCAGCTCTTCATCTCGAAAAGATAAGTTCATATTACAAAACCTGGGGAATAAAAATAAATCCAGCGAAATCGGAAGCAATCTGCATTAGAAACGCCTCTGGTAAGTGCCATAGGAGTGTGGTCCCAGAATCCAAATCCCTTCGCCTTTTGCTCGACGGAACAGAAATTCCGATTAAGGTTGTTGGCTCAGTTTTAAATGTTTAATTTGGAGATTTCGATTATGATCAATGGTTGAACCGTTAACTGCATGAAAAACTTGTTCAAGGCATCGAATAGCTAAGAATTTTTGGGACGTTTCTTTTTTGAAGATCTACTTATGATCCAGTTTTTTAGGTCTGCTCGCATTCAATTAAACTCATTTTTCAGATTACATATCCTGCCACATATTCAAGTGCATCTTTCTAAAGTTGTCCAAAATCATCAAATAACACTTGTTCTTGATCATCACCATAAAATTGTTTTTCATGCTCTTCAGTACACTATGGAACTTTCATTTGAATTGAACTGAAAATTGGATTCCAAATGCAGCCATTCAGTTGGTCATTGGGGGGTCATTTTCAGCGTTTTTGTTTTTTTTTCAATTGTCTGTTTTTAGTACTAAAATGTAAGCAAATATTTACAGTTGCATCGGAGGGTGTTCACGAAAACCACCTTTACTACGTTTCAACTATATCATTGGGGGCAGAACATTCACTATTCACATTTGCAGAAACATTTAATCCGCTATTAAAAAAGGCATAAATTTGTTTAACCCTACGATCAATAACCGTGGTACATTTGTACCGTCTAAATATTACACTGTAAATCATTTGTTTATAGACTAATTTAAAACAAAAAACCGCACGATATTCTCATTTTTAAATGAATTACAATGCGAAAAATGAATGAAAGGTTTTGATTTCTTTCCAATATCCAGTAGGGAATACCATGAAATATTTGTTTCATCCATAACAAAGTAATTATTGTTTAGACAATAACAGTACTGATATTTCTTTCCAATGATGTACTGATATTTGCCTCCAATGATATTATACTGAATCGACTTCCGATATAATGAAGAATGGAGCTGGATCTTTATGTCGAGGATATACATAAAATATATAATTGAGTTGTATTCGATTTAATAGGATTGAAGCATCAACGTTTCTGTTCGGAAGAAAGGCAGAGTAAGATCTGAGATTTTTTAAAAAATTAAGATATAGGACCTATAATTAAAATATTTCATTTAATCCAATTAATTAATTTTAACTATAAAAAGATCTGCTAACAACGTAGCTGGTCTATGCAAGTATTGTTATAAGGTTTAAATAATAATAAAAAGTAATAATAAAAAAAAACAATAAATAAAATATTGAATAATGGGGCAACACACATTACAATATAAATTACAATATGACAACTCGAATATTTTTTGCTTCTCCCTATTCATTCAGAATAAGGCGAGAATGTGAAAGCGAAAAATCTTTCACAAGCAAGATCTCTCCCTGGCGAATATCCAGAATAAGGTTGAATGTCTCCTTTTTAAAATCCTTTTTTGGTAATGAAACATTTAGAGATATAAAATTCAGCGATAATAATCAGTCGGACGAAAAGATACTAAACATGGGATCCTAAACATATTATGGGGTACAATAATACGAATATCTTGCTTATCAATGAAAAGTTAAACACTTTTAAACAAAATAAACTAACGAAACTACAAAAAAATATGAACATCTTCTTTACAAATTGAACGTTATCAATCAAATACCAATTTCTACTGGCATAATACAACGTATTTTCAATAGTTATATTGTCATATATACTGGATCAGTAATTTCGTGAAGCATAGATTACCAGCTTTATTCTGAATATTCGCTGGGAGATATCTCGCATGTAAAAAAAATTTCGCTTTCACATTCTCGCCTTATTCTGAATGAATAGGGAGACGCAAAAAATGGGATATGCGGATTCGAGTTTTCGAAAATGGTGGTTGAAAAAAAGTTTCGTATTGCCATATTGTAATTTAAGTTGTAATGTGTGTTGCCATATTGTAATTTAAGTTGCAATGTGTGTTGCCCCATTGTAATTTAATTGTGTAATATTTTTCAATATTTTATGGGATTCGATCTGTAGACCCCTAGTCGTCTGGTTCAATTTTTCAACGCGCTTTTAATTGTTTCTGAATTTTAATAATTTTATTGGTTTAGCAGGTATTCTATCAGATGCTAACAACTCTGATGATACCTGCAATGCATCACTCATCGATAATGGAATTAGAAAGGCAATTGCCAAATAATCAATTTACACCAATAGCCAACAGTGTCAACAACAACAACAGTAAACGCTTTAGGCAGGAAGATGGTATCCCGCCTACGGATATAGATATTTCCAGGCTAAATTACGATCCCAACAACCAAAACAGGTTTGCAATGTTCGCTGAACTAGAGATCGAAAATACGCAACATCACAACAATCCGGAAAATAACAATGAGGAACCAAAAAAGAGCCACGCTTTTTGCCCACCAATATTTATGTACAATATTAACGTAGGACGTCTAGTTGAACAGCTGGAAGCAAAGTCTCCAAAAATAAATTTTAAAATTAAAAATATTGGCCCAAATAAATGCAAATTGTATTTGACTGATCCCATTGCACATGCAGCTATGTTGGAAACCTTGCGTGAAAAATCTGTACATGCATATTCTTTCACACCGAGAGAATTAAAAAAGGTATCACTTATTTTAAGGGGTTTGTTCTATGGCATTGATATTGAAAGTGTTCAAAATGCTCTAGAAGAAGAAGCACCTGATGTAATATCCAAAGTGAGCAAATTTACAACCCCAAGATCAATAAAAAGTAAAACGGACACAGGACTGCTACTTGTGACATTACGTTCAGGCAAAACGCTAAGTGATATATCACACGTTAAATTTTTACTTAAGGGGACCCCCCCCCAAAATTTCAAGTGAAAATCTCAAGAACTCTTAAAGATATAGCCGATTTATTGTGTTAGCATCAAGTGACGGCTAAAGGGCTTCTCAAACTTTAAACGCGTTTTTCTCAAAACGAATGGCGGGCACGATAACTCAAAAACTAATAATCCAATCGGTTTCAAATTTTGACACGTTTCTCTGGGAGTGTGTAGCTCTCGTATGAACTAGGATAAAGCTAATCGGTGAAGATCTTCCTTATTTTTTAACTTAGTTTGTGGTAAAAATAGGCGATTTTCCATAAAATTTTTTTCAAAGTTCCGCCATTTTGTTAATTGTTGTGCGAAGTCAATAATCCTAGTTCATACGAGAGCCAGACATGTCCTCTTTCTAAAACAGTTGGAAATTTCGGATTCCGATGTTCCAGTGAGGAGTTATCATGCCCGCCATCGAAAATATGGACTTTTCTTTGAACCCAAAAAACAACAACAACAAATTTTGGTAAATTATTTTTCTTCCTTTTTAAATCTTCAAATACATATGTGCCAAGTTACAAACCTTAACAAGCATTGGTATTCATTTACCAGCCCATTTAAAATCTTAAAAATAAAAAATCGAGAATGGGGGGGGGGGGGGGGTTCCCTTAAGCAGACAATTTTCTGGGAAACGCCTAAAAGGAAAACATTAGAAATTCAATGCCATAGGTGTCAACGCTGGGGCCATGTAGCAAAGAATTGTGGATCACAATACAAATGTGTAAAATGTGATAAGCAACATCTTCCTGGTGAATGTCAAAGGTTAAAGACTGATACATCTGACCCATTGTGTGTTAACTGCAATTGTCTTGGACACACTGCTAACTGGAAAGGTTGCCCCGCTTATAAGAAATACGCTGCGAAACGAAAGGAACGTATTCAAAACGCAATTGAAATTAAAGCGGCTGCAAAACAAAATGTCAATCGTGTAATGGCTCCTTCCTTTATCTCTGCTAATAA